CTCGGCCCTGATTAGCGGTGCGGAGGCCCCGCTCTGAAGTGACGGAGCGCCTAGCGGAGGAAAACCCGCTAAAAAACCGCTCTGCAACCACAATTTGTTGCGGAGTGGTTCCGGTATTGTATGCACCAATGAAACATCACATACCACTTTCACTATCCTGAGACTCATGGCTGTAATCAAACTCCACAGGCGTATCACGGGAACCAATTCCGGAAGAGGGATTGCTGGAATCAACGTTTAGATCCAAGATATCGCCAAGGGCGAGCGGTTGAATGTGGCGTCCACCTTTGGCAACATCCACATGGGGTTCAAGCTGCTCGGGGTCCGGATGGGTCCTGCAATTGAGAGGTATGAAACCAATCAGTTCCATCAATTTCAAAAGCACCAAATTGAACAAACTGACAAATAAGCTTGACGAGTCGGTTTTTGAGAACCTGGATTGCTGCTACTAGGCTTGGAAGGACGAGAAGGGGTCTTGGGCATTTTGATCGAAAGATTGGAAAGAAAGTGGTGTCGATTGTTTGACACTGCAAAAAGTAAGAGACAAACAAAAGAGTCGGAAAGAGGGATGAAACAGGTGCCTGATTCCAGATCCAAAGAGGGCAATCCAGAAAACCAACGACTCTCTATATGGTGGGCAGAGTCCAATTGGAGAGGCTTGCCACCCCACCCGATCGAGGACCATATCATCTGGAATTGTCCAGTTGAGATCTGGGAATGCAAAAGTCGTAAGAGAAAGTTGCAACGTTCTTGAAAGTTGTTGACAATGAGCAGGTTAGTCAAAGACCCAAGCCTTAAAAGCTCATCTGAGAAGGTTTAGGTGACAGCACGGCCAGCTTACTTTTGGCCGGTGCTGCGCCTTGCACGGTCCACCAGGTGATTTCTTGAAATCAGAAATTTCAAGACTTTTGAAATTTACTGTAACACACTGTGGAAAGTTGGGACACTACATATCTGTCGCATCCCCTGTCTCTACTATTGGCACTTGATCAACAGACAAAATATGATACAGTCATTTAAGAAAATGGGAAGAGTGGAGAACAGAAAACCAACATAAGGCTACTTGTTTTCTGGATTCACTGAATTCATAGTCGAAGGATTCCCATTCCAACACTCATCTGTCCTTTTGTGCCTTTGTTACTTCTTGACTTTTCAATTGGCGGTGCAGTGGGATGAGAGTTCTGTATTCCATTGATGACCTGTAATAAGATTATCATGTTATCTTGTATGCACATAGAATGTTCTTGTTTGAAAACACAAAAAGTGAAATTGGAGTTTGATTTTGTTCAAGGCAAACTTGGTCCGCTTTGTCTTTCATGACTACACCCTACTGCACCATCTTCATGTTGTACCTTGTACAATTCAAAACATTCATGATTCATGATTCTAGCCATGAAACTATCAAGTGATTGAAGTCAAATTAAAAAGCTCATCTTGTTGCAGTTGAAGTTGGATTCAATAAGTTTTTAGAGATGTCCAAAGATTTCCTTTCTCTTTCCACTCCCAGTCTGCACCTGATCATCACTTTATCTGATTAACTTGAAGGTCTTCATTTTAAAATGTAATATCACTCTCATATTGAAGTTGGTTTGGTTGCTTCACTTCTCACTTTCTACTTTGTCTTTCTTCACAATCTACTCATCCATCAAGTGGGGTACAATCAATTTCTCAACATCAGAATTTTGGTCAGTAAGTGCTCATCACACCATACATTAGATTCAAATTTGATACATTCTTATCATTGTCCTAGAAACCTTCCAAACCAATACCAAGAGGCATATATAGACTCTTGATTCCTCCAAGTTCAACAAGAAATCAAGTTTGATTGGTTGAAATCAACAAAAGCCTACCATGCATTTGATTGAGCCTGAGTTGTTGTCTTCCTAATCCTTCTGCATCCACTTTTGATTTCTTCACCTACACATACTTGATTCTCATTCAGGTTCAAGACTTTCTATATCATTTGTATCAACAAGAATTTGATTGCCTTCTTGACTGACTGCCCTACTTCCCTGCTTGTGTTTTGATTACTTAGCCCAAAAGCTTACTCACTCTTGACAATCTTCTTGATTGTTAATTTGGGGCATAGGGTTACTCGTGATATTTCCACTACTTGGTCACTCTATTTGAACCTTTCTTATCATTATCTTTCCATATAGTTGTGCTCATTTTTGTGTGACTTCTTCCATGCTATTTGTAGTACTACATATATTCTGATGAGATCTAACAACATTTCTGTCAAACGTTGTTGGTCTACACCCTTGACCTCAATGCCCAACATTGACAAGGATCCTCAGAATATCAACTTCAATCCAAATGTTAATCCACATTCAAAAAGTGACACTTCTGCTAGGGTAAGCTTAGCATGCTTGACTTGTTGGTGAAGATTTCTTCCCTTTACCAATGTTTGACTTCTTTAGCATAGCTGTTGGTATCACCTACTGAAAGTGTCAATTGTTATTCCATGTTTAATGTATCTGATTCTACTGGATTGCTTGATGGTTTATTGCCTTGTTCTTCTTTATTCTGAAGCTCTTGTAAGGTGTGTTGTAATGGCAAATCACCATGTGCTTCATGTGTCTCTTCAAACCGGTAATGTAGGAGGTTTTTAGAATGAGTCACTTGTTGTGTTACTGCCTAATTAAAATCACAATCTCTATCCAAAACGATTTTTGATCAAGCAAAAGGCCTGCATAGTTGAACATCAGAATCTCAAGACGGATCAACCCCCTAGCACAGCATTCCAAGCCCACACCAATTCTCCTGATTCAAGAAGAAATTGTGCCCCGCCTCTTCTTTCCTCTCCATTAATCTCAGTGTATGTTTTCACCGAGGCGCATATGTGACATATGAATACATGTATAGTGGGAACCATCAAGAGCCACTTAATCACATAATTTTTCAAAAAAGATTGCCAGAGTCACAAATATCACCCAATTCGGGAATCAAGATATTTTTGGGGTCCTCCGGTTCAGGGATCTTCAAAAATATCCTCAGAAGACCAATTTTTGAAGTTCTTGTTTTTTTTTGATTTCTGACAGTCAAGAGTGCACCAGATATAAATCAGATTGTTTGTTGTAATTACAAATTACCTGGTCCGTGGCTTCTTGCCTCTTGATGATTCCCACTATACAGGGCTTGCCATCAGATTTAAGTTAAAATTGAATCACTTTCAGTTGATGTGATACATCCTATTGCATCACTGGTGGGTTTCAATCACATGCAACCTTGGGCCAGCAACACAGCACACCACATCAAGCAAATTTGCAGCTGTGTTGCACCACAACAAGTAACAATTGGCTGTGTCTCTTGCTACAGTAGACTCTGATATAACCAATCCCCCAAAAAATGTATTGGTTTTCACAGAGTATAGGTTTTGTCAGAGCAAATTTCACTGAAAATTGAAAGAAAAATGGCCAAAAAATTATTGGTTTCCCAAGATTATTGGTTTTGACAGCTATCAGGCATGTCAGAGTCTACTGTACATTGCAGAGGGCACCACAACAGCAAATGGGGAGGTCTAGTTGTGTGGTTCCCCTCCTGTTGCACAACACAGCATGCACAACAGCACCAAAAAATACAAATCAAGCTCTGGACACGGGCTGTAACACAACAAGTGTTGTTGTGGTCCAGAAAAATTGTAGATTCCAAGGATCTTGTTGCACAGCAGTAAAGGCCGCAACAAATCTGCAGGATCCAGGCTGAAGTACAGACCCAAAAGTTGCAATGTTTCAGCAGTGCAGCATGCAACAGGGGCATTGCTGGCCCAGGGTTGTCACATCTTCACTAGAGCAATGTTGAATGATGTGTGGCTTGAATCACTTGCTGATCTTGTGATTTATAATCACACATTCATTAGATGGCATTCAGTCATCTGCTATAACATTACATGAAATCTTAAATCACTCCAAAGACATGCAACATTGAGTTGCATCCCTATTATATCACATTGAAAGATTGCTATCTTTTATCACAATTGCAAATCCTTTATTTTAGTGCATACCATGTGATGTAAAAATGTTGGCTGTGCTGACTGGGAGGTCTGCGTGTTATCCATGCTACAACATTGTATGCTTTTATACAGAGGAATTAATGTTATTTCATCAAGGTATCTGTAACTACAGGCAAGTTTAATTAAAGGCATGGTAATGAATTGATTGATATGCTCATGTGGTGTCATTTGGTGTCACATTCATTGAATTTGATATCATGATAGATTGAAATAATGTGAGAAAGTCATGACATAATCTGTGCAGTTGTTCAAATTCACAAAACTGACAGGCAATAACTCCATGTGAAACCAATGGCTTTTGCCAGGCCTGGGGCTGACAACACCACAAAATTTGGTTGGCACCAGGTTGGGGCCAACTCATGCTTGTCACAGTGGTGTGAGCCAGGCTTACACCACACCAAACAATAATGTGATCAACCTACACATCAAAACAGATAGAAGCGAGTGTGCCACTATACTATACTAGTATAGGTATAGTTGTATAGTTTGAATTCATACTATACTCAGTATAGTACAGTTGGAACTATACTTTCCTCAACTATACTCAGTATAGTATCAAATGATCAACTATACATGGACAAGGGTTACACAAGTTTTCCATCAGCATGTTCAACTATACTGCACAGTATGATATAGTATAGATAAGTATAATTGTACTATACTATACCAAGCATAGTTCAAGTACAGTAGTTGAACTATACTATACCAAGTATAGTATCAGTATAGTATAGTATAGTATAGTGGCAGCCTTGATAGAAGGCAGTTGATTAAGATCAAAAGATCACAGGAGATTCAGATAATTGTACATATATTCCAAAGCATGAAACATAATCACAAACCACATAAACAATATAGAATTACTATTTCATATATACGCACTAGAAAGATGTTATGACAAGATGGATGCATAAAAGTGATAGATGGTGAGTTAATAATACAAGGAAGTTTAAAACGCTTGGTCAGAACAACTGATCAGCGGGGTGATTAATCATGGGCTTGATGTAAATTGGACTGGCATCCCATAGACCACTGGAGCGGCACCTAATCAAAAATTCACCGTGAGTTGAACATATATGAAAATTGCTTCTATCTTATGTGTTCAGACGGATATAGTGAGAAAAGTCAACATACCGTTCAAATAGCGCAACTGACAAACAGATCTTGATTCAGCAAGAGCTTGACTGATATTGACGGGTTCGCGACTAGGATCGTCGGGAGGATGAAGTCCAGTCTTTTTGAATAGGTCCATCGCCAATCGATCGATGTCTTTATCGGTCACATCCCAAAGATTTGCGACCAGAGAAGGGCTTTTGAGTTTGCCAAAAGTGATAAAAGATTCATCAACGGCTCACAAGCTGGCGTTCGTCATAAAAGTATTACTCACCACCCAGCAATCATATAGGCGTAAGGCGTTCCAGATGGATCAAAGTCCCCTTGATCCTGAAGCATGCCGGAGGAACAACCCCACAACATGGTAACAGCACATCTAGGCAACTGCTTGATGTTAATTGATCGAATGTATTGTTCTGCACCCCCATGTCCAAAATAGCTAAAATCATCTCGCGGAGAGGTAGCAAGGAATCAGTTCATACTCGTTATTGAGATATGCGGGAGACTCAAGGATGTAGGAGTGAGATTATCTCACAGCATCAAGTTGGACGTTGCCAGGCCCTGTTTGACTTCTTCCGTTGATGGTGATCGATTCTTAATTCCATTCCAGCCTTGATGGCCTCCGAGCCATGTTTCAAACATAGTCTGAGTACTGATCAAATCGCCACTGGGGTTCAAGATATATGCAGTGCGTGTCGCATCAACTGTCATATTTGATGGTGAGGTCAATTCCCCCAATGCGAGCAATCGATCCCTTAAAAAGCTCAGGGAAGGTATCCGACTAATTGAATGTCCTCTGAGATGCGGAAGAACTTCCCAAGGGAAGCCTTGTAGGTTTTTGTCTAGAATCAAAAATAAGTGTTGTTTTGAGCTCGCCTCCTTTGAGTGGGGCTTTAACATTTCTTTTTGTATTTCTCGTAGCTGACAAACAACCTGAAAAGACGAGGGATCATGTCAGAGGTGAAATTAATAGTCAGGCCTGATCTAAGATTGTGTTCTCCGTGTCATGCTAACCTGGTCAGCGTCAACCTCGTCACCAATTACTGGCGCTTCGTTGATTTGATAACAGTCAACGGCAAATTGAACCAGATCTTCGAGGTCTTCATCTCGACAGCTAATAGGGAGTGAGGTGAAGGCATTGATGACATGATCGTCGAGTGTGCCCGAAAATGTAGTCCGATCTTGGGAACAAATCAAATGTTCTCGAAATACCTTTTCTAACGCGGCACCCAGTGCATCGCGATCAGGGATTGAGTTTGAGCAACGTAAAAAACCCTGCATAACTAGACCGTCAATGAACTAATCCAGTGAGCGACATAGCAAGATTGAGCGCGTACCTTGCAGCCCCCTAACCAATGATTTTCGATGTTTTCTACCAGTCTACGCATTCTACCGTCAAGTTCTTTACGTTCCGTCCACCAGGTCACCTTTTCATCATGTCCAGATACATGTCTAGCCCGTTGAGTGGCAGCATTGCTACAGCTAACAATGTTCTGAAGTTCTTGAAGAGCCGTGGATAATGTAAACAAGTCTTCTTCCCCCTCCCTTCGGTTTTGACGATTCATAGGGAGCTTTAGTACCAATGGGTCCGTGGCGTTGTGATGCTGAACAAGAAAGAGGCTATCTCGGTCTTGTGACAGGTGCAATGACGCAACCCGCCATTCCGTGGGAAGATTCTTGATAGGGCGATATATTCCTGGATGGTCAGCATCCAACATGTGATTCTGCTGCACTTTGACCCAATACTGGCGAGTCAAAGTACACCCGGCATCGTCGCGGAGTGGAATGCTTCTTGGTGTAGCCGGGGCGATGGAAGGCCACGATATGTCATCGACCGAAGTTGGACCATGAAGCTTTGCACGTACAATATCCAACATCTCCCTGCGCAAGGTGATGCTAGAAGCAAAGTCTGGTGAAGTAAGGCATCAACAACCATGACCAAGCAACCAATCAAGATTGCCATAGAACACGACGACTGACCCATCAAAGCAGCTACTTCGCCGGCAGCGTTTACAGGTGCTCGACCAAGGATACATCTAATGAACTTGAGAGTCATCAAGGTACAAACAGTCTCTTGGAGGTTCCAGACTGTCGCACATTCGATGGTACGTTTGCATAGGGTGTGCTCAATGATCTTAATGGCTTGTGATATCCGGGGGATGTCGTCTTTCTTTACAGTGGATTTGATGACTGAGGAACTCTGCGGAGGGATCGCGATCACTGAAACGCAGAGAAAACGTCAGACACTGGTGATGTAGGGAATTTGTAAAAAAGCGCACTGGCTTCGGGCAAGACACCCAACAGAGGATCGACGCGATAACTTTGAAGGACGTCATCCAATTCGGTAAGGGCGACCAGCGTCGTTTCGAAGACCTACGGATGAACATGACAATTTTTTTAGCGATGACCCAAGCTATATGCAAGCCGGGTCTAGCGAACCTTCTCTCGAGCCCTGTGAGGCATTTTTGATAATATCAAGAGGTCTTCAGCCAAGTCTTCTGCTCGACGTCGATCACGGGACACGCGAGCTGGCGATCAAAAAGATAGATTTTATCAGAATGCGTACTCCGCTGTAAAACATTGAGCGCATCAAATGTACCTTGAACATAGACTGCACGGGCAGCGATTGTAGATAGGATACAGCTGAACTGATCGAGTGCGCGAGTGGGTGGACAGGATTTCAGACTCAATGTTTGGACGGACTTTGAAAGACTGAAAGTAATAAACAGTCAGCAAATTGCCAACAGCGGTAGTCATGATAGATAGCGATTTACTTGGTAAGGTCATCGGAGCACATCCCTTCATCTTCAATTTTCTTCAAGATGTGGCATGTCGCAGTACTGTGCTCTCTTGCTTCATCGTACGACTTCAGTCGATATGACAAGGAGCTACGCAGTCTCCAAATCTCGGCAAGCTCAGGACTAGTCTCCTCACCCAATAATGCGACTGCTTCCGCAAGTACTGTTCGAGCATTATTGTATTCGCCCTTGAGGGTCATCATTTCTGCTTGTAACCCCATCCCACTAACCTGGAGCCGGATAGAGCCTATCTTCGTAGCGAACTGTAAAAGTTGGGTTAAATAACCTTCAGCCATCCGAGGCGACCCTTTGGTCAAGTATAGCATTATGGCTCTCTTGAGGGCTTGAGCCATTGCGTCCGCTATCTGCCAGGTCAGTTCACCAACCGGGTGACTCTCCATAGTCATCATACCCGGCCTCGTTTCTCGCTGTGCTTCAGGGAGGGGGACACAGTCTTTTACCCCGCCACCACTTCCAAAAACATCTTCCACTTTGCCTTTAGACTCGGGCGCTATGGTAGGAGGACTCGATATCCGTAGTATGTTGGAGGAAGCTCGATGGAAGAGACGTATGGCGCGTAAGATCGAATCAATCGCTGAGTTGAGATCTCCAGTGTTTTCTTCCAGGTACGAATACGTCGACGAAGCTAGCGCACTCATATGAAGTGCCTTTGTTCGCTTGATTACCCGATTAGTGCTTGATGTCTGGGACTTGGAGGTTAGCAAATCATCATCTTCGTCCTCAGCCAGGGTCCAAATCGCGTGTGCTGATGTAAATGTTGTTTTGGCTTGGTCGTACTCATCAATGTCAGATAGGTATCGGGAACGTAATAAAGTGAGCGCGCTTTCAGAAGCCCTTGACACAAGTATGGATTCCTTCGAGCGAGGGACAGGTTGCGTTTCAAGAGCATGACCGGCCCGCTTCGTGTCCTCCAATTGCATAAAGGTCAACGATAATTCGGTCTTCGTGACCGTAGCACCCTCAATTGGAATTGGGTCATCGAGATCTGATGAAGACCAGCGTTCGTAAATTTGGAGCAGAAGTTGAAGTACTGCAAGCTTTGAGTGAATCAGACCATGAACAGCTAATACATGACTGAACAACCGCAAGTGTTGCAGGTGCCGGTCCAAATCGTCGAGAGGTTGATCCACAGGAGTAGAATTCGATTGCCGGTCTACTTCACAGCTCATCGGTTCTTCATCATTATCAGTTGATAGCTGCTTACCGACTGTCTTTGCTGCTCGGAATGTAGTTTTTGGAGCTGGGGTCTTCAAGGGGTTAGGCAGTGTAGAAGTCGGAGGATCCAAGTTGCGGGTACGAGCTGAAATATTTTTGCGACGTGGTGAACTGGGGGTCTGTTTTCGGGTGACTTGCTGCGTCTTAGTGTTTGAGGCAAGTGTCTGTGTGATAGCCTGCAACTCGATCATAGCGGATTTGCTAGCGTTGAGAAACTTCGTGGGATTGCACGCCTGTTGAGCAGCTAAAGCAATCCATATGTGTCCAAAAGCTACATACTGGGATCGGTAGCGCGCCAAATCTACATCCTCAGCACAGTTTCTGGAGTGACATAGGGTCTTGATCTCGTCAAAAAGTATATTCAAAGTGTCCTCCAAGGGTAGAGACTGCGAGTTCAAAGCATTGCCAAGATGCAACTCCATCAGTCGACAGAGAGTTCTAGCACGTCGGAACGGGTATTGAGCAGACTCATAAACTGTCAGACAGTCGAGTAGAATAGCTCTGATAGCTGGCCTGCATTCTGCTTTACGAATATTAGAATATAAAAAATTTAACTGGACTTCCAATACGCCTCCAATCGCCGAGGGAGGTAGCTGTATCCCTGTAAGAGTTTTATACAAGCTACAGTCGTGATCGGCTAGTAAAAGATCCCAGGTCGCTAGACGCGTCACTCGCTGGATGAGCTTACACAAGCCAGGTTCAGATTTCAGCAACGTTCTGTTATCAGCGTTTCTTCCACAGACCCGCCCAAGAGTTTCAAATGAATTGCGTGCATATGATAAGATAGCCGAGGTATACGCAGAATGGGCCGCGGCTTTGTTTGTACCAAGATGACACAATGCCAATAATTCCCATCTTTTGATAAGATGAAGTCGAAGTTCGTCCAGTTCGTGGTTATCATCTTCATAGCCGGCCCAAATTGCACATGCCTGCGAAGTACGTGTGATATTGAACATTTCGTCTGGGTATGAGCATGCATGCTTGAGGAACGCGATCGCAGACACGTGTTTGTCGGCATGATACAGAGCTACGCCTGCATTATAGTAAACAGATGTGATGCATCGAATGGTAGATACATCAGGGGCTCGTAATAACTTGATGAGAGACTTGCACCTTTCCAACCTGTCCAAGCATTGTCGATGAGTTTGAGGCAAAGTCAGCTGAAAGGAGCTTTCCGCTAGACAAATCAAGGATTCAATCGAGCCAGAGAGCATCATGTAGTAGGTGGGGCTTTCACAAGCCTGGTCAAGTGGGGTTTGTGCAGAAGACTTCTTCAATTCCTCGTGCCACACATCGAGAATAGTGACGAGAACCGAACAGCATGTGGCATTCACAACTTCTCGAACACCTTCAAGTTTACCGTCACCATCGCCGCGACGCCTGATTGTACGGACGCACAAGCGGCGCATCCGTTCGACACTGGAAGCAAACTTATGGCGCAATGCATCGGACAAGGTGGACTGGTGACAATATATCACCGAAAGACTAAGAATCGATTTTTCCAACTGAGTACAAACACTTCGATCTGTATTGAAGATCGAGAGGATGTTAGAAAGAATGGAACATATGCTGTTGGGAATCACAATCGCATGGACCGTACCCTCTCCAGATTTATTGAATTGTTCCAATGCGGCACCAGCTGAAACCAGTTTGATCAAAAGCAAATTCACCTCCTTTTCCAATGATGCGTTTCCCCGATCAACAGGCGTGATAGATTTATCGTGGACTGAGCTATGGTCAGCCTTCAAAAAAGGGGCTAAATGCTCCAACGTGTCGAGATCCCCCGCCTTGCGGGCAATGTTGGCAACCGCTTGACACAATCCTATCCATCCTGAGTCAGAATCATGGGTAGCTTGAAGGTATATTCGTGCTGTACGAATTATCTCAGTGATGTAGTCTTTGGTGTGTGAGACGACATCTGCCAGCTCATCAGGTCGCGATCGAGCATATATGAGAACACTCCGGCGAGCTTGGTCCATCAAGAGATCGATTGAGGAAAATTGGCGAAATTGTACCTGGCAAGCTAGCAAGGATATGATAGCGGACTTTCGCAGCTGAAACAATCGTTCGGGTTCTGACACAGAATCTCTAGTCAGTGACAGGGATTGACTTGTCAATGCTGACACTCAAAGCCAGGCGTTTTCATGAGATAGTGAAGTCAAATGCATACCTAGGGTATCGTCCCACGCAGCGCAAGCTTTGACTACAGTGGTGTAAGATGCTTGGGCAGCAGTCAAAATCTTCGCAGAGCAGGCGTTTTCACTGTCGGTAGATTCACTAAATGACCAATGGCTGAGCGATTTAGGCGAGTCCAATGCCTTGATGCAACACTGAGCTCGAATTTCGGGAGACTGGGGAGGCAGAGCACCTTGTGAACTTTTGCTAGTTGTGCGTAACGCTGATTTTGGTGGGCTAGATGTAGCTTTGAGAAATGCCTGAAAGCCCTGGGCTATAGCAGTGGCTAGCAACGAGACGTGATCTGGATTCGTCTTGCAGTTTTGGTCAATTTCAGAGAGATCGAAACTCAGCACGGTCGAAAAATCTTGCCAGGATTCAAATGGAATAGGTGCTGCAGTAGTAGGTTTAGGCCGGATGGCCAACATCGTCGAAGTAGCGCTTGCTGACACTAAGGATTGTAGGTAGATATGAGCCACATCTAACATGCGCAAAGCTGAATTATACTGAGTTCAACAAATCAGTCTCAACCGACGATATCAGTAAAGACCTTTTTTCCACTTACAAGCCGCAGCTCGAGTGCGTGATTCACCAGAGCCAGTCCAGCCCTTTCCACGTCGAAAAGTTTGATTGGGAGTGTGCCACCAACATAGAATTTGCGCAATGCGTAGAGGGCAGATGCACAATCATCAATTATCTGGAGAACTTGTGAAACGTCCCATCCTCCGCCCGCTTTGTTTACAGAAGGATTTTTCGACTGTCCTTTGATTATGATGTCTGATATATTCAAGTCAGAGCCGTCATCAGCCTTCCAGCCGGAGCGATATATCTCCGCCAGTTTCGTAAGATGCATATTTATCGCCTTCATGGCAAGTTTACATTGTTCGGAGATGCTGAGAGTGGGTGAGTCTGGAAGAGCAGCCTTGCTCATGGTAGGCTTGAGGACAAGTTTGCTGATTTGTTTCGTCTCGAATGTCTTTGAATGTTTGTGTCCATTGACTTCCATTTGGCGAATACCCTGTGTCAAGCCTGTAATTTCGGGCTCGTCTGTCGAGGTTTTGCATTTTGTTAAAGTACGTTTGACTGAGCGTCCGTCTTTGATCGTTTTGGTCGAAGTTTTAGGCAATGTCTTGGGCTTTGATGATGTCTTCTTCACGTTGTCAGGTCCGTCAGAAGTGGATCCCAGATTGCTTGGCCCTTTCGAGATGGAGGGATCGTGTGTTTTAGACGGGTTGGCAAGTCCTTCGGCGAGACGCGTACGACCACGCGTCAGTCTCGGAGGAGGCTGTTCTTCAGTTGAGTTGGGCTTGGCGCGTATCGGCATCGTCTGACGGCCAGTACCGTCGTCTGTTTTCAAGAAAACAATAACACAGGCGTTTTAGCAGTATGAGGCCGTTGCGGGAGAAGTAGACACCTTATGGAGTTTGATTGCTTGACTGGATGCCAACAAGGTCAAGCTGCCGAGCTTGAATCTTGAAAATTGATCCCGAACGTGTCGGGTCACGGCGGCTCTTCGAAGGCGGATCGGGCTTGGGCTCCCGAGAAGTAAACCGAATCACTTTTTGCGCCTCACCGGGATTAAGGCTGTGACCCAGCCCTGTGAGTACATGACCAGCCCCGGGGCCAAATTCAGCTGTAAACACCACAAGGACATGCAGATGTCCTAGGGATGACCGGGTTTTTTGCAGGGGAAGGGACATCCCACGGGCTTCCAAGGGTGTTCCTATTTAAATGTAGGCCCAGCCAGGCATCCTGAGTGTGTGCTCCGGACGTCCGCACGCCCTGACATCCAGGGGACAGCCCAAACGGGGGTGCCATTGGAAGCATATGATCTCGGACAATCCCAAAGTCCAAGGGTTAGGGTTAGGGAGTCCTTCCGCCCAAAAGCGTCTTTGTGGTGAACCCAATGACCTGGGAAAATTGCTCATGGCTGACCGGAGCAGGCCCTGCGGGGCCAGGCTCATTTTTAGGGACAAAATTACTTGGACAGGGGATAACTATAGCAAGCCTGGCTCGCAGAGCTGCTCACCGCCAATTGGGGAGCGCAGTGTGATTTTGACTCTCTGAATCTTGGCAGCTTTCAGCAAAGCTCAAAAAAAATCTCACGGGGAAATGTGTACTGGAAGCTAAACTTAGGCCCAGCAGCGCTTCAGGCAAAAAGAAGCGTTTTTTTTGAGAATAGAAATAATATCAATTCTCAAAAAGAAACATAAAAGAGTGTTGAGAAAGATGAAACAAGGAGTAGTAAAGTATCTTGAAAGAGCGTAATGAGAAGAAAATGAAAGAAAAATCAAATCAAATCAAATAAGTAAAATAAGCAAAAAGCAAAAACTCAAAAGTGAGACTGTCTAGTTTTCTTTTTCATTGCCTTTTTTCCAAACTCTAGAACCTTTCCAACCTGACCAAAATCCCCAATTAGAGGTACACCTTCATTTGCCCAGATTTGACCACTAACAGTCATCTCAATCATTCAAGGCACCATTCCACCCCGTTCCGCTGTGCAAACTCGACCAGCAATAGAGAAAGATTGCTCAGGGGTGGCAGAAGCCGCTGGTATGGCTAAATAGTCTTGAGCAAGGACCAATAAGACTGGGTATTTTCCAGCTTGAGCCGGTTGATAAAGACAAAATGATAAGTTTACAATAGCAGGAAGAAGATACACATTTAGGAATATCACTTACTTTCCACCAGTCCAATGCGGATTGTGGATCTTTCATATCAGTTGAAGCCGTTGGATCAATTCCTTGAACATATCTCTCGAGCTCGTTCAGTTTGCTTGAAGTGACCACCTCATTGTAGAAGTTCAAAAAGTTGTCAATACTGTCAGGGGTGGCACTTGGTGGAGGGGTGTTGATTGGTTGTTCTTGATGGTTGGGCAAATCGTGTTGGGTTGTGAAACATGTTTCTAATAAGTCTTGAGCCCAAAAATGATGTGCCGAGTCGTTTCCAAAGGCGTGAGCAAAGAACTTGAGACATAGACCAGGGTGAAAGATTGCCGCTAGAACTAAAGGATCACATCCAAGCGCCTCTTCCAACTACATGTTAATTTTACCTATCATAATATCAACCATTGGGAAGAGCGGATCGTTTTTGTGCATAGCGTTCAATTGTTCTTCCATTGATGATATAAGCTGCACATATTTCACTAATACCATACAATCGGTCGGTTTGTCGCCTTCCATATCTTGAGTCATTATCTTATACGGCTACAAGACAAGGTAGTGAATAAACAGTAAGAAAAATAAACAAAAAAGTTGAAAAATGATAACACACCGCCAACATAGATGCCTCGGATTGAAAAATCTGAGGCATCATCAGATGGAAACCCTCGGACAGGTCTTGTCCGAGGATTTGATCCGAGGTATTTTTTGACGCAAAATAATACCTCGGATCAAAACCTCGGAAAGATTTTGTCCAAGGATTTGAGTCCGATGATACCTTGGATTTTTCAATCCGAGGCATCTTTGTTGGCTGTGACAATCAAGACTTACCGTCAGTATATCTAGCATGTCCCTCATGGCTTGCCAATCGGCCACTGAGAATACTAGCTCCTCAAAATACCCGTCTCGTTTACTGCCCTTTCTTGGACAACACCTCTTGGAGTGGACCTCAGTTAGATCCTCTTTCATAACTGTATTGATCAACTAAATAACATCACCTTTGTCAGCCTTGTATATAACTACACATGAAAGAAAAGATGAAAACACATAAAAGAAAATATTGAAATATGAAACAAAAATGATACTAACATTGCAAGCCTGCCACATCCGCTCCCAACGTTCAGCCTGAATTCCCCAACGGATTCCATGCCCCAACAAGAGAGCCTTGAGGGGCCGTAAACCTTCAGATTAGTGTTGAACATTAGCATGTTCTCGTTGCCAATTGAAATCGGCACAATGACCACTTGACTGAGTCAACTTCTTGTTGACGGTGTCCATCTTCAAAAAGATAGACATAATATACACCTGTGGTGCACAGAATGTTTGGCCATAAGCCGAAGATATTGTATGCAGTATCAAGGGATAATGTCCGAAAATCGGGCCGCAGATGAGCCCAGATTTGGCAGATGACTCTGAGAAAATTTTTTGAAATAACTCCACAAGTTTTCATAAATCTAAGTGGTAAAATCATCAAATAAAACAACTTTTTTTGTATCATAACCATGCATTAGAATCTCTAGAGCTTGTGGGCCTATCTCACATCCCTAAAGTGCCTCTGAAGGTGTTAGGCAGCCCAAAAATCGAAATTTGACTCATCTGCCCAAATCTGGCTCAGTCTCAGATTCATCTGTATGAATCTGAACCTGACTATTGTAAAGTCTTAAGATTCATCTGGCTACACAACCGTCACTAAAGCCGTAGCAGATTGATCTGGCTACTCATCAGGCAGATTCATCTGCTGACTATGTATGTACATCACATTCACCACACTACTCTGTACAGTACATCCATTACAGCTTGACTCGTTGCTCAACCACTGTACACACTGATCTACATATGTAATGAATATGGAATTTGATTGTTGTATCCAGGAAAAGATTTGGGGGTGATCTCATCTGGCCTCATCTGACCCTCATCAGCACAAAATTGACTTGCTACAGATCCGCCATCTCATAATTCTCAAGGGGAATTCTCATCTGGGCTCATCTGCCATTCTTAATATAACATTCTCACGTGCCACCAGCATAGTGGATGTCTCACTTATGTTGTGAAAATATCACACTCCATGGACTTTCCTCATCGAAATAACATAGTATTATTCCAGACATGAAAGTCCACACAAGATCTGAAGGAAAAGGATCTTTGGGTACCTTCATGTTGACTTCTGAAGCAAAGCGTGCAAGTTAATATTGGTTGTGCAAAAGTTACATTTTTGTGAACATTTCACACAGCGTATAATCTTGTGAAGAATTCACAAAATGTATAATCTTGTGAGAAATTCACAAGATGTATAATCTTGTGAAAAGTTCACAAGTTGTATAATCTTGTGAAAAATTCACAAGATGTGTACTCTTGTAAAAAATTCACAAGATGTATAATCTTGTGGAAACATCACAAAATGTATAATCTTGTGAAGCATTATATCATCTTGTGAACAGTTCACAATATATAATATCTTGTGAACATTTCTGATCGTGTTATATCAATTGCATTACATGTTCCATGGAAAGGAAGAGTAAAATATCATAATTCAAGCTTGCTCTGTAGCATATCCCTCCACCGTTCCTCCAAAACATTATCTTCAGCAATCGTTGCTTCTGAATATTGGCAAGTGTTGTGCAGAAGAGAAACTAGATGAGTGTCCCATGCAAAGATCACACGTGCATGATCTAGAAATAGTCCATGATATACGGACTCCACAGTTTCGGTGCACTCTTCCCAAGTTGTCTTTGTAACAATGTGAGAAGCGTGACTGCCTGTCACCAACTGTATGGGAAGCGTATTGGCAGTTGGATCCCATCTTAAAGAATATAACATATGGAATTGAGCCTGGCTGAAATGACAAAATACAATTATATGAATCAGAAAGTGCTTACCTGAGTGGCTAAGGCCTAGTACATTTATAAGCGGAGCTGGTATCAAGATACGACTGGTATTTTGAACACCTTCCCAAACTGTGTCCTAGTTACAATTTCAACAAGTTCATGGAAATCCTTCAAAACCCACTGGCCACTGCCACACGACAAAACTGGTATCCAATGCCAGGCAGTTCCGCCCTCATCGCTAACACATTTCACCAGCCGGTTATGTATTACACCCCTGCGGAAGCATTGGCATGCCCCACATACCCTTTTTTCACGGCTCCTCCACCTGAAATCAAACCAATTACCATCGCTTTTGTCTTCAACAATCACTATGTGTCCCTAGAACTGAGTTTTAGCGATGATCTTCCAATACCCAACCTATGCTCTGAATGGTCCCAATTGCACGACAACGCCGCGGATACATGGACCGGAATGTATGAACAAAACTTTTTGGTATTCAAGAATATTGCTAAGGAGATCAGGACAGAACGTAACAAGCGCCGGGATGAAACTGATGGCCCATCTCAGTGTGTGACAATTGACATATCCAGTCCACTCACCAGTCCAAGTCCTAGTAGCTCAAGTAGATCAAGTAGCTCTAGTAGCTCTAGCAGTTCTGATTCTGATTTTTCGTAGTTTCATCGTGTAGTGTGCTCATGTTGTGAAGAGTGTTTAATGTACCAGGGGCTCATTTGACATGTACATAGATCAAACAAATAAAAAATGGTGTGAAATAAAAGATCCTGAGTGTGATTGAACGGTAGGCCCAAAAGAGTGCTTTTGAAATCACATGTCTTTGCAGTTGTCTCCATGTGGACACATCAAATTGTGAGATGCATGTTTTTGAGAATTCCTCAGACGTACAGTATAGATATGAAATTTGAGTGAGTGTGAATGATATATTTGGTGAAATGTTCACAAGGTGAAATATCCTGTGAAAAATTCACAAAATGATATATCCTGTGAAATTCTTACAAGGTCGTACATTTTGTGACATTTTCACAAGATTATACATTGTGGAAATTTTACAAAATGTATACATGCACTACACTTGCAAAGGTTTTTTGCTTTTCTAGTGAAGGCATTATGTAATGACGGACTTTTTTGTGAGTCTCAAAGTGGTGTAAAAAATCACAACATCATCTTGGTGCCATATAATGTTATAAGACCATGTAGCTTGGATCATCTTACAAGATGATGAATTGTGTGAATTGTTCACAAGATGATCTATTTGGTGAAAAATTCACAAACTTTATCATCTTGTGAAATTTTCACAAAATGACATATCCTGTTAATGTTCCACAATATTACAAATTTTGTGAGATTTTCACAAGATCATACATTTTGTGAAATTTTCACAACAATGTAACCTTTGCACAACCAATTTTACCTCCCATGCTTTGCTTTAGAAGTATACATGAATGAAAGTACTCAAAGTTTTTAAAAAGAACTTTTATCTCAGGGAGGCTGAGGTGAATAATTCACAATGCTGTGAAAAGTTGACATGCTCGTGAAAACTTCACAATATTGTGAAAACTTCACAATATTGTGAAAATTTTGCACTCTTGTGAAAACTTCACAATATTGTGAAAATTTTGCACTCTTGTGAAATCTTCACAATATTGTGAAAAATTCACAACATTGCGCAATGTGATCTTTGCATGAGACATTCATCTAGGATCTCTTCTGCACAACACTTTCCAATATTCAGAAGCAACAATTGCTGAAGACAACACTTGGAGGCTCAGTCAGTGGAAGGGTATGTTGCAGAGAACACTTTCCAATATTCAGAAGCAACAATTGCTGAAGACAACACTTGGAGGCTCAGTCAGTGGAAGGGTATGTTGCAGAGGAAGATTGGAATGTGAGATGTTCTATATTCAATTCCATAAAACATGTAATGCAATTTTATATATGTACAAGGACTGAGAGATACAACATGCTGGTGGAATGTGAGAATCATGTATGAGTATTGAGAAGGGCAGATGAGCCCAGATGAGATTCCTACTTGAAGAGTAATCAGATCCAGATGTGTAGCAAGTGAGTGTTGTGAATTTGAAGCTCAGATGAGCCCAGATGGGATTGCTCTTTACAGAATCATCAGAGCCGTATGTGTAGCCAGTGAGTTTTGTAGATATGAAGCTCAGATGAGCTCAGATGAGATCCCCCCCAATGTATTGGCTTGGAATCAAAGCTCATTATGTTATGTACACGGGTTGAGTCAAGCTGTAGCAGGTATACAGTGTTTTATTACCAAGTTGAGTCATAGTACACATGTACAACCAGCTAGAATGGAGTCGTGGTTGAGGGTAAATGCAGCAGATGAATCTGCTTGATGAGTAGCCAGATCAATCTGCTACGGCTTTAGTGACAGTTGTGTAGCCAGATGAATCTTAAGACTTTACAATCGTCAGGTTCAGATTCATACAGATGAATCTGAGACTGAGCCAGATTTGGGCAGATGAGTCAAATTTTGATTTTTGGGCTACCTAAGAGCACCCACTATGGTGGGCGTGATTTATCGTAGATTTTGCGTTCCTGAGCGCCAAATTTGATGATGCGTGTAACAACTAAATTGTTAAACGCATGAATTCCACTATGGGATGATGTAACGTCTGCTTTACCAAAGATAAATCACTGTGGATCGACCAGATCCACAGTGGTCTAATTTTGAAATGAAATAACTTATCTTTCATAAATTTCATCCAAAAAAAATCACCAAATGCCTGCTCCGAGCTCCTTGAAAAAGAAATCGAACGTCTTTTGAAGTCTTCAAACAACGATGACGAGCAGCAGGACTATGACCAGTTGGTCTTTGACAGCCTCTTCAATGAGCTCCCACCACCGCCACCCCTTCCTCATACTCGTATACGTATAGATGGAGACCGTGTTGCTCGCGGTCAGCAACTTTACAATGACTACTTCGCACCAAATGCCAGATACGAATCGAAATTTGAACGTCGATTTTGAATGAGTTTTAAAATTCGAACTTTGAAGTTCAGGTGTTGAAGTTTGAGGATGAGGTTTGAAGGAATGAATTGTGATGTTTCGTAGTTTGGGGTTTTGAAAACTACAGTTGTTGACCGATTATCCTACGATAAATCAAGTTGTAGCTGTTTGTAGATTTAAACATGGGGAAAGCAAGATTTGATGCAGTCGTAGGGACTGCAAGTCTAAAACAGGTCCATAGTGGACCTGTCTAGATTTTAGCACTAAACTTACGATAAATCACCGAGTTACCGCACCCATAGTGGGTGCTCTAACACCTTCAGAGGCACTTTAGGGATGTGAGATAGGCCCACAAGCTCTAGAGATTCTAATGCATGGTTATGATACAAAAAAAGTTGTTTTATTTGATGATTTTACCACTTAGATTTATGAAAACTTGTGGAGTTATTTCAAAAAAATTTCTCAGAGTCATCTGCCAAATCTGGGCTCATCTGCGGCCTGATTTTTGGACATTATCCGTTGATACTGCATACAATATCTTCGGCTTACAGCCGAACATTCTGTGCACCACAGGTGATAATATAAGAGACCACATGAAATTAATGAACAGAAAAAATAACCAAAATAACTAAGATACTTATATCTTTAGTGAGTTGCTTCATGTACGTGTCACCTAAAAGGTAAGCTTTCTTGTGGTTACAATAATTTTGAGGCTTGTCTTCTTGCTCTTGATCTTCTTTGTCAGGGTTGGCTGTCTCAGTGGCTTCATCAGAATCAGAGCTGTGATTACTCTCCAGATCATTACCATCATCACTACTAAGATTCTCAAAGTTGGAATTGGATCCTGGCAAACCGCTTTCTGCCTCGTTATCTTCTTTGATCACAGCCATAGCCTTGAAGGCTGGGAATCTACCTAGTGCACTGTGACAGACTTGCATTGGTTTCATTCCGAGGGTGTCTAATCCAGCTTTGACAATCAAGCCCATCTTGTGACAGAAGCACCTGATGGACATTGACTTTGGTTTCCAACCAAACTCATGGCCAGATCAAAGACCTTCTTTGTATAATTGTCGGTGCATTTCACATTCAAGAGTGAAGTTGTTGCTGCCGGAATCTGAGACATTGGCAAGCATGTACAATAACTAAGATGATGTCAGCACCCAAAGAGGAAAGATGATTGTTTTAAAAGGAAAAAATAACTAATTGAATCAAAAGAACAAACTCATCTTTTGATGAAGGTTGTTCTTCTTTAAGAACACCACCATTGGCTCAGCAAGCAAAGTACCCTTATGATGCCATGCCACAAGCTTGAAACTTAAGTGCCGGACTACATACTTCCAATCATTTGTAATAAATGATACTGAAGCCCCAATAAAGGCTGAAGGATGCCTTTGACCATTGTAGAACTCTTTCAGTACACAGCTGAAAGCAGAGCCAAGAAAATTGAGATAGTATTACGCGCTCTTCTATTATGCGCTTATGTTTTTCGTTTGCTTACATCATTAACCTGAATGACGTCATGTTTGAGTTCTCATATAAGGTTTCTTACTCTTGACATTGTAACCTTTTTCTCTCATCGAACTCAAACTTATTTTTCTCTTACAATCTTCGTTCCTCAGATTGTCATTTCATTCGATCAGTGTGTTAGCTTTATATAAAAGCTAATAACCTGTTCATCACAGGTATTGTCATTTCATTCGATCAGTGTGTTAGCTTTATATAAAAGCTAAACTCAAACTTATTTTTCTCTTACAATCTTTGTTCCTCAGATTGTCATTTCATTTGATCAGTGTGTTAGCTTTATATAAAAGCTACGTCATCACCATATCACCACAACACATCACAAAAAGCTTAAAATTTTTTTTTTTTACACACATCACATCACAATCGATTCATGACATTCAATCTCATCTTAAGCAGACAACTCATCTTTTCACTTCTCACTTTGATTTTCATCGTCATCATGTCATCCAATGAAGCCAGACTTCGAATAGTCAAACTCGATGACGATAACTATCCAGAGTGGAAAGGCGATATCACTGGAGCTCTCATGTCGGCAACTCTCGACGAGTTTATCGATCCTGAAGCAACTCCAGTTACTGCTCCTACCGAATTTCCCGTTCAACTTGAACGGAAGGTTCTATACGAAGCTTACGTAATTCATCAACGCAAAGCCGCCGGCATTATGTATAGCCACATGACTCAACCATATCGAATCATCGTTGAATCCGAAGGGTTCATCAGCAAACCCTTGGACATCTGGAACCTAATGAAAAGTAAATTTCAATCAACCGCATCCAGTAGTAAAGGCAGAGCCTACTCCTCTTTCTTTCGTATCACGTATCAATCACTCATCCAGTATATCAAGGATACTCGTGCTGCTCTAGCTGTCATGCATGCTTGTGGAATCAATTTCTCTGAAGAGATTCAAGAATGCATTTCTGAAACGATTGTCGCCAAATTACCTAATAGCATGGAAACGACACTTGCCTTGCTTGATTCCAAACGGCCATTGACGACGAAAGTAGTCTTAGATAATCTCGACAGTCATTTGATTGAATACACTGAGCGTCATCGAAACGATAACAATTCAATTGCTCTAGCTACCGTCTCGAATCGTCCACCTTTTCGTCAACCTGGTCGTCGATTTCCATATCCCACTTGCACTAATGGCACTCATAATCCGGCTGTTAAGGGTCATAAATCTGACGCCTGTTGGGTAGCATTACCACATCTTCGACCAGCCAATATGCTGAATTGAAGTCAAGCGACCACTGCTGTACTTCAAACTGCTTATGTGGATGACTTAATTGAAACGACTGCTTTATCATGCCACTATAAAGTCAATGGAAGCAATATTCTACTTGACAGTGCGTGCTCAGATCACATGGTTTCAGACATCAAACTTTTCAAAAATTACACTCCCGTTTCCCTTATCAATTCAGAAGTCTCTCTTGCCGATGGTGGAGTTATCAAGATTGCTGGCAAAGGCAATATCAGTGTTCACTCTATTGGTGAAGAAATTGTTCTTCCAGCTTATCACGTTCCGGATTTGGGAAGCCCACTCATCAGCATGGGATGTCTAATCAATGAAGGATATCGTTTTGAACACGACAAAGGAATCATTCTGTTAACTAAGGATGGAACTACTGGTCTTCGGGGTCAAATTCGAGATCGTGTTATCGAATTAGATGTCACTCTAGGCACGTCCATCTCATCTATATGCAAGAAAATCAATGTTTCTGATTACACTGCTTTACACAGAGGATCCGGACACACCAATCCACGACGGCTCCAAGTGATGTTTGGAGTTCAGGCACCAGATAACTGGTTATGTGAGGATTGTGCTTTATCAAAAGGACATCGTCTCCCTTATCCAGGTACTCTTCCAAAAACCACCTTTCCTTTAGAAATTGTTCATAGTGATTTGAGTGGAAAGATCTCAGTTGTATCTGAAGGTGGTGGCCTTTATTATTTCAAGCTTACGGATTCTTTCACCAATTACAAATATGTTTACATTATGAAATCAAAATCAGAAACTTTTTTGTGTTTTATCAGATTCAAAGATGAAGTTGAGAACTTACACAATCGTAAGATAGTGAGTCTTGTGAATGACCAGGGAGGAGAATATATGTCCAATGAATTTCGAGAATTGTTGAAGGACAATGGTACTGTTTCATATCTAAGTGCTCCATATACTCCTCAGCAGAATTCCATGTCAGAACGTGGGAATCGTACCACGACGAAAAAAGCAAGAACTCTTCTACAACAATCTCATTTGCCTTATTCTTTTTGGGGGGAAGCAGTCAGTACAGCGGTGTTTCTAGAAAACATAACGCCCATGGAGAAGATCAAGGATCAAACACCTTATGAGCTATGGTTTGGTAGAAAATTTGATTTATCAAGGTTGAAGCCGTTCGGATGTCGTGCTTATGTGCTTGTTCCTAGATCCTTTTGTAAGAAGTTTGATGACACTTCTGAGAAAGGGATTCTGCTTGGATATCAACTTGGCATGAAGAATTATCGTATACGTCTTGATAGTGGAAAAACAGTTTATTCTCATGATGTAACTTTTGACATCAACTGTTTTCCAGGAATTCAACGTGAAAGAGCTGATGAATCATTAACAGAAATATTTGAAACTTCGTTCAGTTCTGCCGGTAATATCACACATGGAGGTTCTGGACCAACTTCTAGCGTAAAGCCACCTGGATCGTCAAACAATGAAGATCAACAACAACAGACTGAAGAGAATGTTTCTGATGAGATAGTCAATGCATCATCACAACCGGAAGAACAACAAATTATATTGAGATCAGATCAAGTAGAAAACAGAAATTCAGAAGAAGAGTCAACTAATGATCAACTTGTTGTGTTTCAAGGAATTCCGATGCAGATTGAACATCCAGTACCTGATCTGCCAAATCCTGAAATAGTTCCGCCTGTTGTTCCCGAGAAGAGAACGTGGGAATGGCAGTTAGCTTCTCTCCCGGCACCTCAAGACATATCGAGCGTAATTGATCCAGCCAACATTCTACCACCTGAATCAAAACGTCATCGCACTCATGCTGCTCGCCGACGAGACCGAATTACCAGAAGGCGGATCGCAAGAGCTGCACGTTATTCAATGTCACCGGAAATCATCAATGCGACTCTAGATTCTATCAACGCTTGCAATTTTGACATGCTGGAAAACTCTCGTCGAAGAATCACAGCTAGAGTTGCGAAAGTCGATATGGATCCGAAGACATATCTACAAGCTTTGAAATCTGATAACGAATTTGACTGGAGAAAGGCAATTGACAATGAATTAGAGAACATGGATAGAAGAAAAGTGTGGGATGTGTGTGAATTACCTGAAGGGAAGAATGCAATTGGAACAACTTGGGTGTTTAAAAAGAAAATGGGGGGAGATGGAGAATTGATTAAATTTAAGGCAAGGTTATGTGCGCAAGGTTTTTCGCAAGAGTATGGTGAAGACTATAATGAGACGTTTGCTCCAACAGGAAGGTTGGCAACATTGCGACTGCTGAACACGATAGCGGCGATTGATGATCTTGACGTGTATCAAATGGATGCTGTGGCAGCGTTTTTGAATGGGTCACCTAAAGAAACAATTTATATGAAAATACCTAAGGGTTTACATGTTGAAGGAGCAACTTCGACATCGGTACTCAAGTTGAATCAAGCATTATATGGTCTGAAGCAGGCGCCGAAAGTATGGTACAACTGTTTGAAAGCATTCTTTTATTCCATTTCTCTTGAACCATCTACGTCCGATCCAAGTCTTTTCATTTCCGTTGATCCTGCATGGAAGTGTTATGTGCACGTTCATGTGGATGATATGACAATTGCGACGGATGATTTTGGTCGTTTCAGAAGGTTGATCACGGAAAAATTTCAAATGGATGAGGATGTAGATTACAAGTATATATTAGGAATGAAAGTTTCACAAAACAGATTAAACAGAACAATCACATTATCTCAAGGCCAATATATTCATGATTTATTACAGGAATATGGTATGTTGGAATGTAAATCAGTTGGTTGTCCTATGATTCCTGGAACGTATCTTGTGCCCGGTTCCGCGACTGAAATTGAAGAATTTAATGATCTGAAAGAAAATTATTGTCATGCAGTAGGAATGTTGATGTACCTGAACAACGCAACTAGGCCCGATATTTCGTTTGTTGTCTCTCAACTTTCACAGCATTTGAACAATCCTTCAATATCACACTGGCAAGCATTTAAAAGGGTATTGAGGTATTTAAGTGGAACACGTAGCATGGGTTTAATTTTAGGAGGTAAAAGGATGGAACTGAAGGCTTTTGCGGACGCGGATTTTGCATCGTGTCCATACACGAGGAGATCAACAGGGGGATATATGACAATGTTAGGTGATAGTACAGTGAATTGGAAAAGCAAGAAGCAGGAGAATGTAGCGACGTCGACAACAGAAGCAGAGTATAGGTCAGCGTATGAAGGAGGACAGGATGTTGTATGGTTTACTCACTTATTAAATAATTTAGAAGTCAAACAAGAAGATTTACCACTATTGAATTTAGATAATCAGGGTGCGATAGCATTAACGAAGAATGAAAGATTCAAATCAAGGACAAAACATGTTGATGTTAAATTTCACTGGCTAAGAGAGCTTGTATCAGATAAACAACTCAAGGTAGCTTATGTTCCTACGGAGGATATGATAGCGGATATCTTAACAAAAGCATTGACGCCAGCAAAGCATAGGAAGTTTTGTTTGTTGATGGGGTTAGATGATGTATCAAAGACGGGGGGGAATTGAGATAGTATTACGCGCTCTTCTATTATGCGCTTATGTTTTTCGTTTGCTTACATCATTAACCTGAATGACGTCATGTTTGAGTTCTCATATAAGGTTTCTTACTCTTGACATTGTAACCTTTTTCTCTCATCGAACTCAAACTTATTTTTCTCTTACAATCTTCGTTCCTCAGATTGTCATTTCATTCGATCAGTGTGTTAGCTTTATATAAAAGCTAATAACCTGTTCATCACAGGTGTAAGTCTTATTGTTTTAGTAGTAGTAGTATTTATTGATAGGGATCGAACTCAAACTTATTTTTCTCTTACAATCTTTGTTCCTCAGATTGTCATTTCATTTGATCAGTGTGTTAGCTTTATATAAAAGCTAATAACCTGTTCATCACAGGAATCTCATTTCATTAAGAAGGGGAGGAATGAATACACAACCAACAACACACACAATCAAAAGAGGAATAAGTCTTGAGATGGTGAATTGAAAGACTTCAAACAAGAAAGAAATGCCCTTCTTAAACAGGGACTTTGATTATCAATGAATTAAACTCAAGACCTACAAGTCTTTGGATTAATAAAAAGCTAAAAGAGGACAATAAAATCAAAAGTATCACTATCTAGGTGCACTCAGGCACCTTCCAAATGAGCAAATGAGCTTACAACTCAACAAGAAATTATTAAAAGTGAATAAAGGGTCTAATATTATAAAATCCCAACTCTCATTAGTTGCTTACCCAGATAATAATAATAAAAAGATACAAAGATTTATTCTAAATTCTAATAATAATTGTTGCTAACTAAAAGGCTACAAAAGGTGGGAAAAGAGACACTTGTATAGATCAAAATTGAAACACACACAAAAAAGAAAGTGCGACAAAAACACCCCTCAAACTCGAGATTCACCTTCAAACAACTTTTTTCACACACAAATCATTGAACGACCCCCAAATTAAAATTGATAAACATCTTCAACACACCCACATGTATCATTGACAAATTTTCAAGCACACATTTATCATTAAAACTGAGCTGTCTACCACAAAAACTGAAAAATCCGCCAATTTACCCTTAAAACGCCAAAAAAGATAAGAAATAGGGACTGTATCAAAATTCTGAATAGACAGAAAAAAAGGTCTCCTTCCGCTCCACAACTAGCCTTAGTCAAGCCAAACTCTAACTCTATTGGTTGTACCCTTAAAATGAAATTTGATTTTATGTGAATAAACTCAAAATTGAATTTACCCAGTTTACCACTTGGTATTACCACTGATGATGATGTATATGGTGTATAATTGATTTGTCATGTTCATATGCGAAAATATAAACCTCCCCAACTTATTTCTAGGCTGATAAGATGCTGTGGTACCCTAAAATCAAAGTTGTATGATTGAAAATAGCACTTTTTATGATTTTGAAAGTGATTTTTGAGTTTCAAATCCTTGTAGTTGGTGTCCCAATTAACTG